AGTAGTTCTCATAGGGCACAACGTTCTCATCCCAGATAACCTGTTCAGTCGGATACAGCGGCTGCTCATTGAGTTGCTGTAGTTGGTTTACTCGACGCTCACAGTGAAGCGTCTGGAAAAAAGATCTTAGCACATCGTAGCAAAGAAAACTTATCAGAAGACTAAAGAACCAGCGTTACAAATGAAGTAAAAATATAATGAAGTGGTATAAATAGACAAAAGTTGTCTGGATATCATTGAAACAGGCATACACCCTAACTTCCTAAAAACTGAGTTGAAAACATACAATAGTTTCTGTCAGGAATTCTTTAGAGTACGTCTCCAACTGCGAATTTTCGCTATCCATCGGCGGCACAAGATGTAAATATTCAGCAAATCGGTATATCTCCGACTTTCTGGAAAGATAATTGGTGTCTAAGTACATTTTGAAGTAAAACACAAACCAGCACAGAAAAGCTGGATAACTAAAAAAAAGTCTAAATGTGAATATTTGCGAAGTTTTGATGATGGCAAGAAACAAACTTCATCGACCCAAATTGCTTCAATAGTGACTTTCTCGTATCCACACTTCCTACGCTCAAAAGATAGAAATCGGGCATGCTTTCTCTAAAGAAAAGAAAATAATTAGGATGAAAGATAAAAGCCGAATGCTAGAAGGATAGAAAAAGGACCTAAAATACTTAAACGCTGCCTTCTGTAGCTGCACCATATGCTCATAATGTCGATCAGAAACCTGAAAGAAGTGAAATTTTGAATGGATCTAAAATTCTTAAAGCTCGCCGTGTACAAATCATCAACACTTACTTCCTTATTGGTGAGCTGCTGGCCCGTTATGTCGTTTATCTCAAATCTTGCGTAAAATTTAAGCATTTCAACCAGTTGACAAAATAAAGACCCAGCTTCAGATGAGATCAGTTTTGAGAGCACACAATGGGTTATGAGCTTCGAAGAATGCAATAGTGCATTGAAAAATCTCCTTAAAAAATAGACGAACGATAAGGATAGGTATAGCAATACAATACACATACCTTGTAGGAAGAAGAGCTTCAAGATCAATTACTAGCTCAATGAACCTCTCACAATATCGGATGTCTTCCAGATCAACTTCTAGAACGACGAAGACTTTTTTAAAAGAAATAGCGCAATAAGGAATTCTTTAGGCTTACCTTTCGATTCATCGTCCACTCGATCGAGAGTGCGCTTGAAACGAGCAATCAAGTTCCATAAGTAGTTTCGTTCAAACTGCGCTTTTCGTGATTTTTCT